CGGGGCCCCACACGTCCATGTGAAGAGTCTGCAGTGGAGCCTCTGTCGGAGGAAACTCGGAGGAGTGAGGAGCGGCGCGCTGCCGCCCCTCGACGCAGGGAACGCAGGTGGGGGCAGGCCTCGGAGGGAGGGGAGGGAGGGACCGGGGAAGACCAGAGACAAGGTAACGGGAGGCCATGCCTCGGAGACGAGGCAGGGAGGGGTGACCAAGGCGGTGGTGCCAGAGGAGAGTCCGGTGGGACAGGAGACGACACGAGCAGGGAGCAGACTTAGGACCAGTCCTGGACGCTGCAGCAAACACCTGACCCGACGCAGCTACCTGACCAGACTCAGCGACCGGAGGAGACTCAGTAGTCAGTGTGTACAGGCTCGACCCCGGCTGACGGGTAAACGTGGCCAAGTGTCGGCCCGTCCGAGCACAAGTACAGTGGGTCACCCGCTGACTCGCAGGAGTGAACTGGTCAACCCCCCCATCCTGTAGATCAGCACCACTCACCAAGTTCGTGGAGAACGAGGGGAGGTAGAGACCTGACAGGGTGCCAGAGGGGGCCGCCGGACACGGTAAGACAGTGGAGAAGTGGGCAAGGACAGGACCCCCAGAGGGGTCCGCCAGGGAGACCGCAACCGGCCGACTAAGCGGCGTAAGCGTGGTGCGGTCTCGGAAGAAAGAGCGGGAAGCACCCGAGTCAAGGGTGAAAGTGTGCAAGGCCTGAGCCGACGTGGTACCTGAGAGAGCAGACTCACCAGCACCTGGGGCAGTAGACGTACTAGCACCTAGAGCAGCAGCCTCACCAGCACCTAGAGCAGCAGCCTCAATGCCCGGGTCAGGCGGAACACACAGGTAACAGTCACCCTCATCACTAGTAGACACAACATACATGGCAGCAAGAATAGCATCATAGTCTAGATCAAAGATAGCAACCCCCGACCTAAGTAGCTCGCCCCAGCGGGGGATCTCAGTGGCGTCAGGGAACTGGAGACGCCAAGCGTCCGTCAGGCGGCCGAAGCAGCGCTGGGTGGTGTGCGGGCCACCGCACGGCTCACCAGTGCGGTCGCCGGTACGCAGGACGTAGGCACAAGGACCAGCACCCCCACCCCGCTGACGCGCAGCGTACCACTCACGAAGCTGCTGGGGGGGCGGGGTCTCACGAGCGCGCTGCTGCTGCTGGCGCTGACCACCACCGAAGCCGCCCCGCTGCGCAGAGCCACCCCGACCAGCTCCACCTCCACCGCCGCCACCTCCGCCACCGCCGCCACCGCCTCCGCTCCCACCGCCACCGCTCCCACCGCCACCGCCACCGCCGCCGCCGCCTCCGCCTCCACCGCCGCCACCGAAGCCCCCACCCCAGCCACCACTCCCACCGCCACCCCCACTCCCTCCGCCGCCTCCACCGCCACCTCCACCACCCCCGCCGGCCCCTCCAGCGCCCTTACCCCCTTTGCCCTTGCCGGTGCGGCGTCTCCCGCTAGGGGCAGACGCAGCGCCGACCGACTCGGTGCCAACTAAGTCGTCGGCAGCAGCAGAGGCAACAGAGGGCAAAAGGGGGGAGGGGGAGCACCCCTCAAAGAAGGGGGCACGAGGGTCACCACGAGAGGCTCCTACAGCGACTATACTCTTCTCTGCTGCCAGGAGGCGCTCCTCGAGGAGGTCAACGGTGAGTGTGGTGGGGCAAACCGAGAGGAAGTGGTCCCTGACTGAGCGAAGGGAGTCAGGGAGCCAGGTGACTAGGTAGTAGAGGGTGATGTACATGGGGGGGGGGTTCTTGGCGCAGAACTCAGCAGGAAGCGCAGCGCGGTAGCGGGCGTCACTAGTGCGAAGATGCGTAATGAGGTCAGCGACTGTGGGAAAGGCGGCTAGGTCAGGGAACAGGTACGGCAGCATGAGGCGGCTAAGAGCAGCAGTGGCAGGGGAAGAGTAGCGTGCAATGACAGCGTCGTACAGAGTCTTAGCACTCTTGTAGTGACTAAAGTGCGCGCGCTCAGAGGACGGCAAGTGACTGCGCACAGCAAGACGGGCAGCAGCATCGCGTGTGGCCCACTGGGAGCGAACAGTGCTGTCAGCATCGGCAGCAGGGGCAGTAGAGGCGCCAGACGTGAGATCGAACAGGGAGAGACCGTCTTTCCTATCGCACTGTAGGAAAAGCAGCAGATCATCAACCCAGACCTCAAAGTCAACAGCCCGACCCTCAGCATCAAAGACGAGGACGCTAGGGGTAGCCATGACAGCAGTGGCAGCAGTAGCAGCAGTGGCAGCAGGGGCAGCAGTGGCAGCAGTAGCAGCGCAGCGCGGCGATGCTCTTACCAGGGCAGAGGGCCGCAAGTGGTGGGGCAGGGCTGAGGCGCACCGGCAGGGATGGGCCGAGGCGCGCAGGTAGGGCCGAGGCGCGCCGGTAGGGGCGGGCCAAGGCGCGCCGGCAGGGACGGGCCGAGGCGCGCCGGCAGGGTCGAGGCGCACCGGCGGCTGCAGTCAGCGGCGGCGGCTGCTGCGGCTCCGGCTGAGGTGGCGGCGTCTGCTGCTGGTGGCGGCTGCGGTGGCTGCGGCTGCTGCTGCCCCGGGAGTGAAGGCGGCGGCCGCTGCTGCCGGCGGCTCCGGCGGTGGCGGCTTCCGCTGTAGGGGCGGCGGCGGCTGCTGCTGCAGGGGCGGCGACGGTGGGCCGCGAAGGGCGGCTACGGGGCCGTGAAGGGCGGCGACGGGGCCGTGACAGGGCCGTGAGGGGCCGCAAAGGGCGGCGACGGGGCCGAGACGGGGCCGCGAGAGGCCGCGAAGGGCGGCGACGGGACCGTGAAGGGTGGCGACGGGCCACGAAGGGGCCGCGAGGGGCCGCGAAGGGCGGCGCAAGGGGCCGTAAGGGGCCGCGAAGGGCGGCTCGAGGGGCCGTAAGGGGCCGCGAGGTGCCGTAAGGGGCCGCGAAGGGCCGTGAGAGGGGCCGCTAAGGGCGGCGCGAAGGGGCCGCGAGGGGCCGTGAGAGGGGCCGCGAGGGGCCTTAAGAGGGCGCGATGGGCCGCTAAGGGCTAGGGACGCGACGGGAGGGAGGGCACACGGGGCGCGACTCGGGCAGGAGCGAAGCGCGCTCCGGGCAGGAAAAAAAAATCGTGGTGGGCCCTAGGAAGCGTTCCTACTAGGGAACCTGCTCTATACCATGTTAAGAAACGAGGAATGATTTGACTAAGGAATGAGTGTGATACAAATGTGAAACCCTAGAATGTTGTACCCCTTAGTGTCTACCCCACTATAGCCTACAGTGACTAAGTAATATAAATCTGACACAATTCACTCAATGCACTCATTCCTACTTGCTATCTTGACACCGTGAGCCTACAATACGCATATAGTGCCCCTCATCCTCCTTCTCCTATCCTTTCTACTCATGTCCGCTGCCCCTCATCCTACTCCCAATCTCTCCCTCTCTTTTTCTTACTGCTGCCACTCCAACTGCCGCACCTCCTCTTCCTATAGTCGCTGTGCAAATATTGTCATAGCACCTCTAGCCGATACATATGCTGCTGCCGCATCTGACGCCACTGATCATTTGACGCCATTGCATGCTGCAGGCGCTGCTTCTGCTGTCGTTGAGTTCATAATGTGCCGCTGCCTGTTATAGCCGCCGCAGCACATATTGACATCGCACTTGCCGCAGCTGCATCTGCCGTCGCCGAACATCGGTCGCTGCAGTATCTGCCACCGTTGCATATGCCGCCACTCCACCCGATTGCCACTGCATCTTCCGCTGTGCCTCTCCGTGTCCTTCTCGCTTCGGCTGTGTACCCATGTAGGGGGCGTTAATTAATTGGTTCCTATTGCAAGTAATGTAGGGGGTGCCTTGGAGTTATATTTGATTTAAATAGCTTGCTACATCGTCTAGTGTAGCTAGAGTGCATCATACTGTAGGAGTCTTACCCCAAGTGCTGTCTTATAAAAGTGTAGACTTATCTCAACCATAATCCAAAGCCCCATTTCCTCTCTTCACCTTGCTTGCTCCTAAACCTCTCGCTAACTATCACGACACGCAATTATTTACATTTTTTTTCTCGAAATAGACATGTAACAATGGCAATGATTTCTAGTTAGGTTTTTGAACCCTTTTTTTTATCATAGGAGGACCAAATAAGGCAGGTGTTCCCAAACCTTTGTATCACCAAAATGTAGCAACGGTAACCAAGGTATGACCCTAGTGAACCCCCACCAACTGCAAGGAAAGGCCTATCAACCGTACGTTTTGGCTAAGTACAATGCTTACAGTTTGTGTCAATTCTCAGGCACTCAATCGGCTGGTCGTCACTCTGACTAAGAAACAAGACTCCCCCCACCGCACTTACCAAAGCAGCATTGATATTGTTCACCGCACAATCAATCCTCCCTGATATCTCCTCTTGCTCGCCTGCCTGCCTGCCTGTGTGCCCTCGTCTCTTCAAATCAGCGACCCTCGTGCTTGCCGCCAAAAGCGTGCACCTCGAGGACCCTGGCTTGAGGCCTCTGCTCATCCATCCGTCCCACACCAGCCATCCACCACCTCCTCTGCCTCTCCATCTCCATCTCTACCCGCTGCTCACAACTCACGAAGCTTGTTAGCGAGACTCCTCGTCAGTTGCACTTTCTGTTCAGGTGGAGTTTGTGTCCTACCGCATTGCCTATATTCCTTCCTAGGGTTTTCTGTGACAGCCTTACTTGTTGAACTCTTTAAATTTCTCCAAGATCTTGGTCACATTGCGCGTTGTTCGCGACTGGATGACACCTTAGGTGATCGATTAGGGTTTTCATGGCTGAACTTACTGACGAAGTCGTTGCTTTTAGCTAAGAACTGGTGGAGATGGAGCGGGGCCCCGCCCCGCAGCGTCGGGCGCGCGAAGGCTCGACGCGAACCGTCCCGCTAAAAGACACATCCGAGGATCGACCCGTCGTTCGCAAAAAAGCACCCGGCGAACGAACAACGGTTACCAAACTTCGCGGCGATGGGCCTAGCAAGGGCGGCCAAGAGAAGCAATTCAGTCGGATCAACTCCATGATCCACCGTCCATCGCAATCCAAGATGAACGACGACGATGACATGGAGCCCGCCGCCGCGCCGCGATTCAACCGAACGCTCTCCATGGTCGGTAAGGCCCCGGGGAAGCAGCAAAATGTCCGTGCCGCGCAGCCACGTCAGCAGAGAGCGGCGCCGCAACAGGCGCATCCGGACGATGACGAGGATCCAACGGAATCGGACCTCGGACGGTCGATGACGATGGGGAGCAAGCCGCGGGGGAGACCCGCGGCGGGTTTTCCGCAACACGGGGGGGAGCGGGGAGGAATGGGGGGAGGGGGAGGCGGAGGGGGGGGAGATGGGAGCGGGGAGGAGCAGCTGGGGCGATCACTGACGCAAGTCGATGCGCGCAGACGGGCGGGCGGAGGACGCGGGGCAGGCGCAGCGGGCAGAAGCGGAAGCCCCGCGCAAAGCGGGATGCGCAAGTCCGCAAGCGGCGCAAGCCGGTCGCGGTCCCCCATGGGCGCGGGTGCGGGCGGGGACGATTCGATGAGCATGCAGGGAATGCAGCAGGCGCTGCCGCAACAGCCGCTGCTGAAATCCGCGCTCAAGCGCAGTAGCGCGGCGCAAACGCCCACGGGCTACGGCGGCGGCGGGTTCGGCGGCGACGATGGCGGCGGGTACGGCGGCGGCCAGATGATGGGCGGAGGGGGAGGGGGTAGGGGCGGCAGGGCGGGGGGCGCTGCGCCAAACCCGCAAGGGGGGTACGATCGGTCCGGGAGCCCGTTCCGCGCAGGCGGGGGGCAGTATCCGGGGGGGGATGGTAACATATACTCTCCTCAAGGCGGAATGGGGTACGGGGGGGGGGAGGGGGAGGGGTATCAAGACGGGATGTACGGCCAGGATCCGCAGCAGCATTACGGGCAAGATCAGCAGTTTCAGCCAACGCCACGTCAGCAACAGCAGTGGGCGGGCGCGCAGGGAGGCGCTAATTCCGGGCGAATGATGGGGGGAGGCGGAAGCGGGTCGGGTATGGGGCCTGGGCGGAAGATGGGGGGAGGGGGGCAGCAGCAGATGATGCAGCAGGCGCAGGCGCAGGGGCAGGGGCAGCAGGGGGCGGAGGACGAGTATTACGGGGCGGGCGCGGGGAACATGTCGGACGCGTCGGATACGAATTTCACGCGGCGGCTGCAGCACATGCAGGCGCAGCAGCAGCAGGACGAGGCGGCCTCGCTGCCCATGCTGCCCCCGCCCAGCGCGCCGCAAGTCGTGCAGGTATGCTGTGCCCACTCCTCCCCCTTCTTCCCCGGTCCCCCTCTCCCAGTGCTGCCCATGCTGCCCCCGCCCAGCGCGCCGCAAGTCGTGCAGGTATGCTGTCCCCTCCCAAACCGCTCCTTCACCTTCTCCCTTTCCCTCCCCCCTCCCGCCCCCTCCCTCGCTCCCTGGCCTTTCAATGTGGCGAGTAGTGCAGTCATGGCGAGGGGTGCCGCCATTGCAATCCTCTTCGCCTCGCCTTCTCTCCTCGTGTGATGAGTCGGCTTTTGAGTCGACTCATCACACGAGGAGAGAAGGCGACTCAAAAACCGACTCATCATGGCGAGGGGTGCCGCCATTGCAATCCTCTTTGCCTCGCTTTCTCCCCTCCCTCCATCTGCTCCTCCCGATTCCCCTCCCCCTCTTCTTCCTCTAATCGTTTCCCCCCTCCCGCTCCTCCCCACGTCCCGTCTCCCTCTCTCTGCCCTTCCCTCCCCCCTGTGTATTCTCAGTGCCAGCGCTGCTCCCAGCTACTGGAAGTGCCTCTGCAGCTTCCTCCGGCTAAGAAGGGCGTGCAGAAGCTACGCTGCGGCAAGTGCCTGCGAGTCTCTCGCTTCCAGGTCAACCCTGCTGACCCGCGTTTCGCCAACCAACTGCCGCCAAGTCAGCAGCCGCCGCCGCCACAGCCGCCAGCTCAGCAGCATCCCAATCAGCAGCTGCAGGGCGCTGGGGGGAGCGGGCGCTTTCCCTCCCCCTCCCCGCTTCAGCAGCAGCAGAGGGGGGGGAGTGGGACCGGATATGACAGTGATGGTAACGCGAGCATGAGCGGAGGGGGGGGCGCAGGGGGAGGGGGAGGGTTCCGCCCAGGCATGGGGCCAGGCGGAGGGGGAGGCCCCCCCGCCCCCCACCACATGCGCTCGCTTTCTAGGGAGTCTGATGATTATATGGCGGAAGGGGGTGGGGGCGGGGGGATGGGGGGCGGAATGGGCGGGCAAGGGGGAGGAGCAGTCGGGGGGAGAGGGCCCGGGGGAAGGGGGAGAGGCGGGGGGAGGATGGGGGCGGGGAGAGGCGGGGGGGTTATGGGCAGGAGGGGGCCGGGGGGGATGGGCAGGCAGGGGGGAGTGGAAGGGGGGGAAATGGCTGCGCCGTCTTATGGGCACAACCAGCAGCAGCAGGGGATGGGAGGGGGACCGGGGGGAAGCATGGGCGGAAGCATGGGGGGAAGCATGGGCGGAAGCATGGGCGGAAACATGGGCGGACACATGGGGGGAAACATGGGGGGGAACATGGGGGGAGGAATGGGAGGGGGAGGAATGGGGGAGGAGGATGGGATGATGTATAGCCGGCAGGTGATGGTGAATGGGCAGGCATTGCCGGATGAGTATGTGGCTGTGGCAGAGCAGCGGGCGGGCCCCATTCACCCTGGCAACTACTGGTGAGCAGGAGCAATTTCATATATGGTGCACGCAAGGTGCATGGTGCATGGGGCATGGGGCATGGTGCATGGTGCATGGTGGATGGTGCATGGTGGATGGTGCATGGTGCATGGTGTATGGTGCATGGTGGATGGTGCATGGTGCATGGTGCATGGTGTATGGTGCATGGTGCATGGTGCATGGTGCATGGTGTATGGTGCATGGCGCATGGTGCATGGTGCATGATATATGGTGCATGGTGCATGGTGCATGGTGTATGGTGCATGGCGCATGGGGCATGGTGTATGGTGCATGGCGCATGGGGCATACAGCATAATGAGTAACGGGGCATGCTGCATGAGGCATACCACATAGATAGGACGGAATTAAAGGATGAAGGTTTGTTGCCTGCTGCTGCACTATGGCCTGATGGTCTAGGGAGTAACCGCACGATGGTTTAAGTACTATTTGATGATATTCTGTCCCCCAAGGTAGTAATTATGGGGCAGTATTCTGTCTCTCCGTTTCATGGCAGGTATGATGACGTGGCAGGCTTCTGGGGTGAGATGGGCGGGCCATGCCTCGGCATCATCCCGGTAAGTGCTGAGCTGGCAGGCAGCATACTGGGTCACATGATTCTGCTAGTGTTGAGCTGGCATGCAGGATGTTCGCTCACACCCTTCCTTGTTACACAATCCTAGTTCCTCCATCACTTTTCAGTCTCCCCCTTACCTTTTCTTCTCCCCCTTTTCCTTTTACTCTTCCCTTCCTACTTCTATCCTGACCATTTCCACCCTTCCCAAATTCATTCTTGTCCCATGGTAAATCACTCCTCTTCCAGCTTTCTGCCTTCCCTCCGCCACCCCCACCAGCCTGCCATTGACTTTGGCATGCCGATCCCACAGTCCTGTGCAGGGAGGGTCAACCCGCGTGTATGTGAGCTGCACCACAGGGACCTGAACCACCACCTCCTCCAACCTTCATGCCCCTTCCTTTCCATTCCCTTCCTCCCCGCCGCCACCCCCTGTCCCCTTTCAACCCCATATTTCCCCTTTCTCCCCCACGTCCCCCCTCTTCTCTTGAAATCTCTGCGACGCCCTGCCAGCCTGGCATAGACTTGGGGATAGTGATGCCCCAGTCCTGTGGAGGGACTCAACCTGCGTGTATGTGAACGGCAGGGAGCTGCACCACAGGGACCTCAAGGCTGCTCCTCCCACCCCCCAACCCCCACCCCCCCTTCCACCTGCCAGCCTGGCATCGACTTTGGCGTGCCAATTCCAGTGTCGTGTGCCGGCGGCGCCACCCGCGTGTATGTGAACGGCAGGGAGCTGCACCACCGGGACCTGGAGCGGCTGATGAAGAGAGGGTTACCGGGCACGCCTGACTGCGGTTACCGCATTGAGATCACGGGCAACGTGTTTGACGAGGAGACCGGGGAGTACCTGCTCTGCCTGGGCAAGCTCGCCCCCTCGTGAGTGCCTGCTGTTGAACCACCTGGTCTCTCAAGTACTTGTTGTACCTGTTGGTGGGTTACCGGGCACGCCTGACTGCGGTTACCGCATTGAGAAGACATGCAACTTGTTTGACGAGGAGGCTGGGGGGTGGTGATGGGAGGGGGGAGGGGAGGGGTACCTGCTCGCCCCCTCGTGAGCTGCCTTTTCTTCTTCCTCCCTGTTTTGCTTGCTTGCGTGTGATCCGCATGGTTTCAACCTTTCTGTGTCATTGGATTCACGCTTTCCTCCATTACCGTATCCTTCCCATGCGTTTGCTCCAGGCTGGAGAGCAGGAAGAGGGGTGGTGGCATGAAGATGCCAGAGAGAAGCTGAAAATGCCGGAGATGTACCTTAGGTGGGTGGTGTCGGAAAGGAAAGATGAAAGATATTGAAACCATGTTAGGCGACAGGAATTGATGACAGCTCGTGGTATTTAGCTAAGGGATGTGAGGGCAGAATTGGTTGCTCTGGGAAAGGCTGTGTAGGCTGATAAAATGCTAAAAGTTGAAATCCTTGGCTTTGAACTGCTGCTGATCAGGAGTACTGTACTGTATTTTGGCCATTCCCTATTATCACTATTCGCTGGTGTCACCGCCCAGCTTCAAGCGGCGCGAGTGGTTCAAGGATGACGACGGCCCCGCGCTTTCGGAACAGCTCGAGGCGCTCGGCTCTATAGCCAATCAGTATCGTCGGCGGTGGTTTCGGAGTGAAAGCCCCACCCGAGCCAGAACGTCGGTTTTAGCTGTTTGGCTGTGAGTGGATGCCGTCACTCTGGTTTGGTCCCAAACCTCGGGTGACACTTCACGTTCGGCAAAGCCGAGGTCGTAGCCTGCTCTGAAAATGCCACAAAGCAGCAGATTCTTGACTCGGCCGATCGGCTCGGAACGAGCGCACAGTTGTGCTGTTTCGAGAGACCCCAGGCAGGACTTTCGCTGATTGGCTCGTACTTGTTTTCTTTTGCTTCGGCACTCCAGGCCAGCCTGCCTCAGCAAAAAGGCACAGCTCCTTCTCCTCCGTTATCCACACGTGCTTTGATGGCGCTTGCATGCATCTGCTTGGCTCGGATGAAAACAGGAGCCAAGTTATGCTCTGGCATTGAAGGCTCTCGCGTACCTGTTTGCAAAATCACCAAGCCCGGCGCTCAGCCGCGGTAAGGAAAGCTAAATGCGCTAGGTACCGAGCCTCGACAAATTCGGAGTGAAGCGTGAAGGTGCGGCGGACCACGAAGGCAACGCAGCCACGCTTTGCGCAGCTCGGCACACTACCGAGCCAACCTACCCCAACCTCTTTCACTCACCGGGCCTCCCCTCCCCTCTTCCCTGTGGTGGCCAAGCCAAACCAAAACAACAAGCTCACTCCCTGATCTCACGCTCAAGCTCTCCTCACTGAGAGGAACCTACCCTAACCTGTTTGCTCTGCGGAGCTACAGTTTCCTGTCCTGTCTTAGCTTGATTGTGGTGGAAAATGTCGTCCTCAGATAAGAGAGTCTGGTTTTGTTCATGGTCCTGTCACAGGCTACGGAGACGGTTTTAGACGAGCTATGCACCTCTAGGAGGTTGGTCCTCACCGAGCTCTAAGGAAGAAACGGCATGGAATCTTTCGTGTTGACAGAAGCTTAGGAACAGTCAGCAGCAATACGTGTTTAGAGATTCTAGGTTGCTTTCGAAGGTTACGATGCGTTTAGATGAGCGTAGGTTCGCTAATTTCCCACATCAATCACTGGCGCCACACATCGCACTGTTAGTTGATTAACTACCTTGATTGATTTTGACCGTCAAACGTAACATTTAGCCATGCATCATCTCGAGCAGGCACTATCACGTAAGAAAAGCAGCAGCTGGCTGTCGCTTCTTAAAGATGGTCGAAAGGGAGGCAGTTCCAAGTCCACGTCAGCAGCAGCTACAGCGGAACCTACGTCAGCAGAAACCGAAGCGCATCATGCCCCGCCAGGCGAGGAGATCCCAGAGGAGGCTCGGGTCAAGCCTAGCCGAACCTCCAGCGGAGGCTCTTTATTGGACTGGAAAGGGAAGGGCAAGAAGGATAAGCCTAGGAGCTATGCATTGGGGAAGAGCGAACCGGGCGCGCCTGCCGTAACTATCGAGGTTACAAGGGCCTTTGTTGACGACGATTGCCCTCTTTCGTCTCCTTCCTCCACCGCTGTGTCCTCCGTTCCTTCAGGCTCCTCCCTCTCGTCCACCTCCTCTCGTTCCACCTCAGCACGCTCCTCACTGGACCGTCCCGTTAACGGCAGCCCCGCTATAGACCGTTCCAGTAGAGACGATGAGTCGCCTATGGCTCTGCAAACGGCTGACTCCCTGCGCATCCACAGAAAGGCCAAGGAAGCTTCATCGAAGCAGCACGACGGCACCTCGCCAGTCCCGCAGCTGAAGCTTCGGATAGAACCGCCAGTCCCGAGCCTCGAAGGGTCAGACCGAACCTCGGCCGCGAGCAGCCGAGTCAGCAGCAGCGGAAGCGAGAGCGGGAGCGCGACCGCCAGCAGCGGCCGTCACGGTGGGACGAACGGCGCAACCAGCGCGAGCGTATCGAGCATCAGCAGGGGTAGCGTCGGCGGCGCGAACAGAGACCGGGACCGGAGCAGGGGTAGGGACGGGTCGCTTAGGGTTGTATCACTTCTAGGGGCGGCAACGGAAGTGGTGGCGACGCTAGGGTTGCAGCATCTGCTGGTGGGGCGGTCACACGAGTGCAAGTTCCCGCCGTCCGTGCTCGCGCTGCCGTGCGTCACGGCGCCCGCGTCGGGATCGGGCATGGAGGGGCCAAGCTGCGGCTCCGCGCACGACACGGTGAGTGCGCGGCGAGCCGAGGTCATGTTGCACCGTAGACGTTACCCCCACCCCCCCCCCCCCCCCCACAACCTCCCTCATTCCCCTCTTTCCCGCCCCGCCTGTCCCTCGCCCCGCCCCTTCTTTCTCCCCTCTCCACCTCACCGCCATTCTCTCTCCATTTCTACTCCTCCCACAGCCATGCCACCCTCCCCCCTGCGTCTCTCATTCCCGCGCCAACCCCTCCCCTCGTCCAATCGCAGCACGCGCGCAAGGGTCTCTCTGCGTCTCGAAAATTTTAGGAAATCTCTCGCGTGCCTGGTGCCTCTCGGGACACTGCGGACAATCTGGGTGCAATGTGTCGTGGCGATTCCTTCGGTTCTGTTCAGGACCATTCACATTCGTCTCGTCTCGTCCTGCCGCTCGTTTTATCACTGCTCACATGCCCTCCTCCCACTCCGTTCCCCCGCATCCTTTTCCGCGTCCCCCTTCCCACTCCTCTCTTCCCCAACCGCAGCTGTCGCAGCGCGTGCGGAAGAGCCTCTCCCGATACCACGTGGACGTGGAAGCGATAAAACGACTGCAGCCAGATGTGATTATAACGCAGGACGCTTGCGACGTGTGCCTCGTGACTGTAGCGGACCTCGAGGCGGCGTGCGCGGAGTACTTCAAGCAGCGCGAAGACTCGGGACACGTGTGCCACGTGGTATCGCTCAAGCCAATCACGATCTCGGACGTGTGGGACAACATGGTTCAGGTCGCAGCGGCGGTCGGGCACAGGGAGAAAGGTTGCGTGCTCGTGCAGACTCTTAAAGCGCGCTGGTCGCTCGTGCGCAGGCAGGTTCCGCTCCGCGGATCGTCCCCGCGCGTGCGCGTGGTGTGCCTGCAGTGGCTGCGCCCGCTCATGGGCGCGGGGTTCTGGGTTCCGGAGATCGTCGCTTGCGCGGGAGGCAAGAGCCTGTCGGGGAAGGTGAGACATGGGGGAGGTGAGATGTGCGGGAGGTGGGATTGGAGGACGTGACGTGATGGAGGGAGAATGAGTGAAATGCAGGTAGACGCTTAACTTCTGGCGCTGTTCGCCTTTCCGTTTCCCCCTCTTGTCCTCAATGCTTCCCACCACAACCTTTTCCCCATTGTCCCCTTTTTCCCCTTCTTCCGCCCACAGCCGGGAGAGCGCACGGCCATGCTAACTTTGGAAACCCTTCTATCTTTGGACCCTGACGTCATCATCGCCATGTGCTGCGGATTGTCCATGGAAGCAGTTTTAAGAGAGTTTCTTAACTTGGACGATTTACCCCAGTGGAACCGGTTGAGAGCGGTTCAGACGGATTCCGTCTTCGTGGCTGACGGCGACCGTTACTTTAACAACTCGGGGCCGACTATAGTCGAGTCGGCGGAAATCATGGTGGAAATTCTCCATGCGCGCCGGTTCCCAAACCACAGAACCGCAGTGAACCGCTCTGGCGCCGCTTCTGGCGGTGATAATGACGCTCCGCTTTCCTCTTTCCGCAACAACCGCGTGTTGGGCTCGGGACACGTGGTGGCAGGCCCGGATTCCCCGGAAATTGAGATTAAGTACGAGGGGAGGGCATACGCGCAGTTAACGGGCGGGTGCGTGGGCGCGTGGCGCGCGCTGCTCGGGGATGGCGGAGGGGTCGACCAGGCGGGGGGGAGCTGGGGGAAGCTGGATGTGGGAATGGGGGGGAATGTGGGGAGCGATAGTGCGGGAGAAAGGGCGGGCGGGAGCGGAGGGGAGGGGGAGGGATGGTTTGCGCAATTGGCGTCGGAAGCAGCGGCTAAGGGGGCGAAGGAAGCGGCGCGGGAGGCGGCTTTGGTGGCCAAGGCGGCGGGGAAGCATCAGCAGCAGCAGGTGGGGCACGCGCAGCAGTTGCAAGGGCAGGGGGGCAGCAAGGGGGAGGTGGCGAAGGTGGCGAACAACGAAGCGTTTGTTGTTCCTCTTCGCCCGCCTCCTGGTTACACGGGAATCGTTACAACAGCCAGCAGCAGCGCCGCTGCCACCACCGCTGCTCTAGTCGGTCCTGCCGCTGCTACCGCAAGTGCTGCGCCCTCCGCGCCCGCTCCGGAGCCCTTGGCGCCCCTCCCCTCCCCTCCCGGGCGCAGCTCCAGGCGGTCTCTGTGGGGGCTGAAGCGGGGGAAAGGGGGGAAGGACGCGGAGGGGGGAGTAGAGGCGGAGATAAAGGTCGAGGGAGTGAGGATAGAGGAAGCGCAGGAGCAGGCGCAAGCGCAAGCGCAGGCGCAGAAATTGGCGCAGGAGGAGCAGGAGCAGGAGCAAGAGCGGATACAGCAGCTTTTCCTGACTCAGTTGAGGCTAGAAGAGGGGTCACAGCAACAGACGCAACCAGACGCAACACCAGAGCTTTACCAGCAGCCGCAGCAGGAGGCGCAGCAGCAGGAGCCACAGCAGGAGGAGGAGCAGCAGGAGGAGGACGCTTCCCCCGCCTCCCCCCCTCCGCCCGCCATCTCCCTCACAGGCGCGGCGCTCAAGGCGGCGCAGCTGCGCGCGCTCTTCCTCGCGACCATAGAGGACTCGCTCCCCGCGGACTGCCTGCTCCTCTCGGGCGGGCTCGCGTCCACCATCATTGCGCACGCCGCCACCTCGCTCATCTGGCCGGGCAGCATAGCCGCCGCGATTACCGTCCTCGCGAGCCCCAAGTCCGCGGACAGGCTCCCCGCGGCGGCGGCCGCGCGCGGGTGCCAGCTGGGCGCGGGGATGGGCGCGGGGGGGAGCGGGGGGCATGTGTTTGTGGGGGGCGGGCCGGGGTTTCAGCCGGAGCATCTGTTGGAGACGGAGCTGCGGTTTGTGGTGCGGGTATTGAAGAGTTTCGACCCTGCTGAGGTGAGTGAGTGTCTCAGGTGGAAGGTTGCAGAGTGACTAGGTGTGCCCTAGATAGGGTTTCAGCCGGAGCATCTGTTGGAGACGGAGCTGCGGTTTGTGGTGCGGGTATTGAAGAGTTTCGACCCTGCTGAGGTGAGTGAGTGTCTCAGGTGGAAGGTTGCAGAGTGACTAGGTGTGCCCTAGATAGGGTTTCAGCCGGAGCATCTGTTGGAGACGGAATTGCGGTTTGTGGTGCGCGTGCTCAAGAGCTTCGACGCTGCTGAGGTGAGCCAGTGGCTCTGGCTTGGGTGGCTTGGGTGGCTCAGGTGTCTCGCACAACCTGCAGCCTGCAACCTGCTGTGTGACCCAGGCTGACCAGGCTGACCAGGCTCGGCCTCAGCACCGGCTGGAGATGGAGCTGTAGTGTGCATGCTGAGAATGCTGCTGCTGGTGTTGAAATGCTCCCTGCGATCGAGGGAGTCCACATGCCGTTATGTTTAATCGCTTCCTCTTTACCCCTCCCCTCCCTTCCCTTGTCTTCCCCATTTCGCCCTGGTGCAGATCCGCATGGGCGTGGTGCTGGCGGCGGGATTGAGGGAGGCCAAGCGGCAGGGGTTCTGCTCGGTGATGGTGGGCGATGGCGCAGACGAGCTCTTCACCGCGTGAGTGCCTTGGTGGGGAAGGGGGGATCAGGAAGGGAGAGGGGAGGAGGAGTGGGACAAGGATAAAGGCAGAGCGGCAGAGCTTCTGCTCGGTGATGGTGGGCGATGGCGCAGACGAGCTCTTCACTGCGTGAGTGCCTTGAGGGGGAAGGGGGATCAGGAAGGGAGAGGGGAGGAGGAGTGGGACAAGGATAAAGGCAGAGCGGCAGAGCTTCTGCCCGGTGATGGTGGGCGATGGCGCAGACGAGCTCTTCACTGCGTGAGTGCACTGAGGAGGGGGGAGGAGGGGCTATGGTTGTTCTATTGGGGGGGGGGGGAGCGGGGAATGCAGGGAATGGGAGTGATATACACACAGAGCGGCAGGGGTTCTGCCCGGTGATGGTGGGCGATGGCGCAGACGAGCTCATCACCGCGTGAGTGCCTTGAGGGGGACAGAGGTGGTGGGGGGGGGGGGGGTAGGATTTAGTATGGACTCCAGACCAGAGGGTTGAGGAAGGATGGGAAGGGGTTAGACATGGGATTGCAGCAGTATGTGTTGAGAAGCTGTCCATCGTTCTCAAGTCAGAGCTGGCAAGCGACCAGGGATGTGGTGACTTTTGAGTCGACTCAAAAGTGTTTTGAGACGTCTCAAAACACTTCTGTTCACACGTGGCTCAAAAGTCACCTTGAAGCTGTCCATCGTACTCAAGTCAGGGCTGGCAAGCGACCAGGGATGTCTCTTGTCCCCGCTTACACCACGATGAGCTGGCAACTCATTGTTCGCTTTGGGCGCCTCAACTCATGTTGTCTGTTTATGCCCCCTCGTTCCCGCTTACACCTCTCCCCGTCCGCACGTGTCCCTGTCTGTGGCTCTCGCCTGTCGTTGCTTGGCAGGTTCGACTTCATGGTGCGAATGAGCGATGCCAAGCTACAGGAGTGTCGGCACCACATGGTGGATGTGCTGCGCTTCCCCTGCAGAGACCTCGCGCAGGCACTCGGCCTCGAGGTGAGCCCTCATGCTGCTCTGGTTGTGTGGCATCTTAAGGTGTCACCCTCTGCTTTAGAGGCACCACATGGTGGATGTGCTGCGCTCCCCCTGCCGCCACCTCGCCCACGCTCTCGGTCTCGAGGTGAGCTCCTTACCTCTTTCTGCTTGGTGACGTCACAGTGCTCAGTACAGACATTCATCCTGTTACATTAAGGTGGTATATTGTCTTCGAGGTGACCCCTTTGAATACTCCGTGGTGGCTTGACTCCCTTCCCTACTCTTTCCTCAACTTTTCCCTGCTCTTCACCATTTCCTTCCCCTCCTGCCTCACCCTTTACCCCTTGTGTCCGAGCCTGCAGGTTTGGCAGCCGTTCCTGCACCCGGCCCTGCAGGAGTTCGCCTTGGGGCTGACCAAGGACGAGCTGCTGGGGGAGGGGCGCAGCGAGGAGTGGTGTGACTATAACGAGGGCAACCTGCTGCTGCGCATGGCCTTCCCTGAAGTGGTCTCCGCCCGTCGGCCCAAGGACCCTATTGAGGTGTGCTGAGTGGTGGAGGGGGTTTAAGCTAGGTTGCTGTGGCTAATTGGTGCTATGTGCATGTGCCATGCTGCTGCTCCTGGCATTTTTATATGTCGTTTATGTGTGCCACGAAAGGACCCCCTCAAGGTGTGTGGGTGGGAGACTGTTTTAGTGAGGAGAGTGAGCCGAGTCAATTAAATGTTTTCCTTGTGTGCTCCTTGCTATCCTCTTCTTTGCTTCCTCCTGTGCTCTCTTGCCTCGCACCAGGTGGGGGCGGGCACAGTGGCACTGACACGCCACTTTGCAAGGCGGATGGCGCGGGAGGAGTTTCAGATGGAAAGGCAGAGGGTGAAGAGGGAGGACCAGGTTCGGATACGGGACCCAGAGCATCTGCACTACTACCAAGCCTTCCGGCAGGTACGGCTCTTTTTCTCGAACCTACATGATTCTGAACCTGCATGCAGGTAAGGTGCCAGCTCTGGACCGAGCCTTTAAACAGGTGCGGTGCCGGCGCTGGTACCGAGCCTGCATGCATGTATGGCGTGTGCACTGCTTCTGTTGATGGGTTAAACTCTGTGCGCAATCGCAATTCGACGCCCGCCCACGGTGCTCCCACCTCCGCTGCCACTCTCCCTTGCAGGTGTTTGAGTGCCCTGTCCTGCCAGGAGTGCAGCAGCACAACGCCTGCGCTGTGCCTGCGCTGCCTTCTCTACGCAGGGCCCTTGTGCTCAACCATAATCTCCTCCCTATGCAACTCTTCCCCTCTCTCTTGCTGTCCTTGCTGTTCTCCCAATGCAGGTGTTTGGCGGCCCTGTCCTGCCAGGGGTGCAGCGCTGGCAGCCCAACGCCTGCTCTGCCTGCGGCTTCCCGCCTCTCTTCCCAGATCAGCTCCTCTGTGCCACCTGCGGCGAATGCTCCACTCGCAAAACCTCCTCCCGCCGCCGCTCCCAACCCAACAACACCGGCCCTGGTGCTGGCGGTGTTGGGAGCGGTGCTGGGGACGTTGGGGCAGGCGCAGATGGGTTCGGAGTGGTTGGATTGGGCGGATTGGAAGGGGTGCATGGGAGGGGCCAGTGGGGCGGGACTGGTAGCGGTTGTAACGGCCAGGGAAGGTTGAGTGATGTGCCGCGCAGCCCCCGCCGCCCCTCCACCCCCCCTCGAGGCTCCTCTCCCAGTGGCGCTTCCCCTTCCAGTGCTGGCAACAGCGGGAGGAAGCAGCGGGGCTGCTGGGGCAACGCGGGAGCGGGAGGAGGGCAAGTGGGAGGGCGAGAGGCGTTTGGAGCGGTGGAGAGGGAGGGGTGTGGGGAGGGAGGGGAGTGGGGGGAGCAAGTGGTGGTGGAGGTGGCAGAGGAGGTGTGTGCGGCTCTGTCAGTGGTGGATCAAGCTCTAGCGGGGGTTGCATCTCCTGATCGAACCTTGCCTGTGAAACACGCCCTAGGAACAAGCAGCAGCAACAGCAACAGCAGCAGGAGTTGCACGGACAACAATGGCTCCATGAATAATGTGCAACCGATGAGCAACATCCACGCGTTGCTGCTCTCAACCTACTCGCACCCGCCCTCTGCCACCTCTGCTCTCCACCATTCCGACTCTCTGCTCTCCCTGGTTGCCTGTGTGGACGGTGGGTTGAGCGTATGGGGCGATATTATTGGCTCAAGCCAGTGCAGCGACGAGCCTGAAGGCGATAGTGACTATAACGGGCGGGATAATAACGAGGAAAAGGAGAGGTGTCGGAGCGAGGGTGGGCAGAGGAGAGGCAGCCGGAGAGCGGGGAGGGGGAGGCGGATGAGAGAGCGAGGAGGGGCGATCGGTGGAGGAGGGTCGATGGACGGTCTAGATCGCGAGGATGCAGATGTGATTACCGAGGGAACGGAGATGTGGAGTGTTACTGATGCAACGACAGAAGTGGCAGGGTTTAGTGAGAGTGAAGAGTGGGGCGATGGGGATGGGGATGGGGATGGCGATGGGGATGGGGATGGGGATGGGGACGGTACACACGAAGGGCTGAGCAGCAGCGGCAGTTTCTCGGACTGTGCTAGTAGCTTTTCAGGGAGGGATGGGGGAGCGGAGGTGCTTGGGGTGGGGATGATGGGGGGAGGGGGAGGAGGGGAGAAGGGTTATGTGCTGGGTGGAAATGAGTGGGGGGACAGTGGGCATGGCAGTGGAAGGTATCTGATCAAGGGTGCGGAAACAGCATCGAAGTACAGAGTGAGTGGTCTTTCCATTGCCATCCCCTGCTAGCCCCTCGTTGTCTCTGTCCCTAGGGGTCGTTTGCCTTTTGCCTGTGCTTGCTTTGCGACCTGAGGCTCATCTAAGCATTTTCTGTTCCCTGGTTCTGTGTTCCTTCTCCCCAGGTGCTTGGTGCAGATTTGGCTGCCAAGTCATCATTGAAACACCAACAGCTCTCCACCACATCCCCAACGTTTTACTGACAAGCCCTAGGATGCAGCACACTTACATTTGTCCTATTCCAGTATAGAGTAAAAGGATCTTCCATGCTCCAATCGGAGCTCTAGTTTTCTGCTAGGCGCTATTTTTATCCTGGGAATTGCTGATTTGAAACGTCAAGTTTCTATAGTGAATGGAAATAATATGGTCAGCAGACTCCTGTTCCAGGAGCAAAATCTGGATTTCTGGCACATCCAAACCTCTGGTTATGTAGACTCTATGTGTGTACTGTAGTCCCACTGGAAAGATATGGTACTGGGATTTCAAAAGGGGAAAATACCGACGGTGACAACGACGGTGTCAGCTTCAGGAAGCGTGGACACTGACCTGGAAGGACTAGGGTGATTCACCCTAATTATCTAAACCACCCGCGGGTGGCATTGATTCTAACCAGAATCATCGGCATCCCATCGCATCAGATGCTCCGACACTCCCTTTGCCAGCACGGACTGGGTCCACGTGAAACAAAATCTCGTGAAAAGCAGCAGTGCATGCGCGAATCGCAATGAGTAAGTGACCGCGCCCATTGGCCCCTTTTTGCCTATCCAATCTCACCGCAAATTACATCTCTTTCCACCTCACCCCAACCTTCTCCTCCTACGGACGCCATCGCATCCCTTGATCTCAAGATCCCATCGCATTTCATTTCATCCCAACCCAGATTTCGTCCCATCTCATGTCATTCCTTTGCATCGCGTGCCTGTCTGCTCCTCACATCCCATCCGTCCACGTCACTACGCATCCGATCCCGACGGCATCAAGTCTCCTGTCGATTTGCTTTGGAATCCTCCGTCTCGCAAGCAAACTGCCGAGTGCATTGGGTTCATTGGACCCTTCTGCTACTTTGGATGGCTGCTGCGGAACATTTCTCAGATTGTCTGATACACATAGCAGAACGGAATCAGAAGTCTGGTCCTTGCGGTATGGTCTGTTCGTTTCTACGTCCATCCTGCTCGTGTTGGATGAGCGGCTCCTACTACCAGGAAGGGTTGCTCGACCCTTGTCAGGACAGCGTCCTGACCAGCGAACCCTTCCATTGAGCTTGTTTTGCGGTTATGCTTACATCCCTAGGAATTCCAAGACGTGCACTAAACCTACAACCGCGTGTCTTTCCCATAGCAGGAACCTGAATGTTTTTTTATGTCCTGTGTACAAGTAGTGCTTGGGATACAGCCCTCTGAGATCCGAGTTTCAGGACACACGGAAAACCAATTTCTAATCCTATCTTTAATATAATTATCACGGTCAATATTGAAAGCTGGTGTATATGAGGGGTATAGGTGTTCGACACCTATAAGTCGTATACTTTAGTAATGGAGTTGGAGTTCATCTAGAGATTATGTCGACCTTTTCGTCACTTCTACAGGACTCTCTGTTTCAAGCTGTTCCCGCTGCTCTGCTTGCCGTCAGCAGCGACGCGAGGGAGAATCGAATTGTGCAATCCAGGTACGCGGGAAAGGTTGGGATAGACAAGCTAAAAAGTGCAATTGAGCTCCCACACCGTGTGCCTCGCTGCGAGCCTCTTCTATTCAGGATAAGCAATTTAAGACAAAAGTTTATGATAAGTTGCGCCTCAAAAAGCGAGAGCGCATGCGCATCATTGGAAGAGTGTCGACCCTGCAGCAGACCCCGAGGCTAACTGTTTATCAGTGCTTCGCCCCATCTGCATGATCACCGACTAAGTAATTACCTTTTTTCCAGCCATGCTGAGATATCGTTTTCACCGCTAAGGATCCGTGATCTTCGCTCATCCGGCGTGTTTCCCGGTGCACGTGTCCTGGTTCCAAGCAGCTCTGCACTGTTGGATCTGCTCGGCGCGCAATGCGGACACTCGCAAATGATCGGAAGGAGCTTCCTCCCCTTGGTTCACCCAGCAGACCGAGCTTCTGCTCAGGCAAGCACCATCTCTCGCAGGACCCAACTTGCGCTCCTCGGAAAGACATTGTGCGGAGCCTGTTCCTTCTTACATCATGGCAGCTGTGTGAATCCAACAGCTATTTACTACTTCAATGAACAAGGGTGTAATTACCCGTGTGTTGAGCGGAATTTGCGGCATCTCAATCTCTCATCACCATCTTGGTCTCAAGTCTTGTTCTCCGCATCTCAATCGTTCCCATTTCCTTCGTCTCTCAATTTTACGGCACAGGCTGTGCTGACTGGATGGGATGTCTCGGATGGCGGCAGGACCAAGAGGCGCGTTGGGGTGAGGCTGACAGCCCTAGGAGGGAACGATATGCGAGAGCAGAACGGGGATGAGAGGGTAGAAGCAAGGGGAGAGAGTCAGGGAGATGGAAGGGGAGAGGAGGGACAGGTAAAGGGAGAGGAGGGAGATGGGAGGAGAAAAGGGAGAGAGGAGGAAGACACCAACAATATATGCAGCAGTGAGTGGCGATGGCTTGAGATGTCCGTCTCTCTTGCCACGTGTCCTCGTGAGGGGGCCGCCACGTGTACATCTTCACACGGACCGCCTCCTGAAGAAACAGCCCGGGAAGGTCCGAGTGGCGGAGCCCGTGGGCCAATGATGGTTCTTTGCACTTTCCTGGACATTTCCGAGCGGAGGAAGCAAGAGGTGAGGAGGAAAGTATTTCTCCACTGTCTCTCCTGCACTGTCTCCCCACTGTCCGTCCACCCCTGTCTCTCCACTGTTTCCCCACCGTCTCTCCACGTTTGACCGATTTAGATATCATTTCTTGCTTCTCTCCCTCGCTCTGCTCTCTTCCCCTGGCAGGATCTCATGCTGCAGAGGTTGAAGGATTCCGTTGTGCCTGTCATGGCCTCTCACCAGGACATGGCTGCAAACAATGACTTGCACCATCATAGCTCACAGCATGAGTCACCACCCGTCGTCACCCCCGTCAGAGTCGCCCGCCCTGCTTCAATCGAGGGAGAGGAACAGCAGCAGGCAGGCAGCAGCAGGAGCAGCAAGAGTGGCGTTGACAGCAGGGGCGCTGACAGATGCGGTGGTGGCAGGGAGGCGGAGCACGGTGAGGAGGGTGGCGGGAGGGGAGAGCAGGCGGCAGGAGGTGGAGAGGCGAGTGAATTTGACGGTGCGAGTAGAGGGTGCAGAGGTGGCGCCGGTGTGGAGAGCGGAGATGGGAACATGGCCGCGTTGACTACGTCTGAGGCGCCTCAGACGACTTCAAATGGACAGTATGACGATTTCAAATCGTCAGATGACAGTATGGACGCTTTGCAGCAGATGGTGGCTCTGCTCAAGGGAGTCAAGCAGTCGCTGCAGTGGAGCCATGAAAGTGCCAAGTTCCATGCAATCTTCGAGATGTCCATGGTGAGACAGCGATATTCGAGACGTTGAGATGTCCATCACCTTTGAGATGTCTAAACAATGCAGTGGAGCCACGAAAGTGCCAAGTTCCATGAAATTTTTTAGATGTCGATGGTGAGACGGCGATATTCGACAAGCACCATCACTCTCTCCACTCGTCCCCCTCCCACCGCCACTCTCCACTAGTCCGCCTCCCACCACCACTCTCCACTAGTTCCCCTCCCACCACCACTCTCTCTCAACCCGTTTTCTTCGCCTCAATTCGCCTCTAGTCTTTCCCCGTCCTCTCCTCCTACCTCCCCACAGGACCCTATTTTCATCAACTCAATGGAACAAATACTGCATGACCTCAATCCCGCTGCCGCCCACATCCTCGGATTCCCCTCCACTTCTGCCGCCCTGGCGAGCCTGCCCAAGGGCTACCTCCTCAAACACTCCCCTGTGCTACAGCCGTGTGGGCGGCAAAGTTTGGAGCTATTCAAGGGGATTCTGGTGGAGCTGATGGAGCACGGGGAGTGTGCGCCATTCGAGTGGGTGCACACCCGATTGGATGGCTCAGAGTTTCATGTGCTGGTGAAAGTTAAGGTGAGAGGGAACTCTGATTTGTATGCACTAGAACGAACGCAGTTTGCGCCGTTCGAGTGGGTGCGCACCTGATTGGACAGCTCATAGCTTCACGTGCTGGTGAAGGTCAAGGTGAGCGAAAGCTCCGTAATATGTGCGCCATTCGGGTGCACACCCTATTGGATGGCTCAGAGTGTCACGTGCTGGTGAAGGTCAAGGTAAGCGAAAGCTCCGTAATATGTGCGCCATTCGGGTGCACACCCTATTGGATGGCTCAGAGTGTCACGTGCTGGTGAAGGTCAAGGTGAGCGGAGCCCTACATGTCGCTGTAGGACGACCTGTTGGAGATGAAACGCCTGTTTGTAAAGATGCCACAAACCAGCCGACGCCATACGCCCCTACATCCCGGACCCCAACAACATGCCTACGTCTCGACTCTCTGCAGATGGTAATGGTCAATGGAGAGCGCTTGTACATGTCCTTCCGGCACGACATCACAGAGATGAAAGATGGGCATTTGAGATGCTGCAAATCTGGTTTTTGCACCCCCGCCATTGAACGTGTCCCTTCATCTCTTTCCTCTGCAGATGGTAATGATCAATGGCGAGCGCTTGTACATGTCGGTGTGGCACGACATAACGGAGATGAAGCGCAAGGAGGAGGAGCTGAAGGCGGCCAAGGAGGCGGCGGAGGCGGGCAACGAAGCCAAGAACCGGTTCCTGGCGAACATGAGCCATGAGCTGCGCACCCCCATGAATGGCGTCATCGGTGTCGCCGAGCTGCTCCTCCGCACGCCCCTCACCCCGCAGCAGCGCTCCTACGTCGACGTCATCTCCTCCTCGGGCAACGCACTCATCCATATCATCTCAGACGTGCTTGATATTACCAAGATTGAGACCAACTCGCTGCTGCTGGACTGCTGCCCGTTCAACCTCCGAGAGACTTTGGCTGAGTGTGTGGAGGCGGTCAGGCCGGCTGCAGAGAACAAGAAACTCGCGGTAAGAGATAGAAAATTCTTCAACTCAGTTCTGACTTGGTTCTGAAAGTGGTCGTGGCTGCTTCTTAGTTTTGAAATTCCTTAACCAAATGGACACTGTTCAACCCTGCTCCATGTCTCCCATCTCCCATCTCCCGTTTCATGTCTCCCACCTTCTGTCCCCTCGCTGCTTTGCGAAATCTTCTCATTGAACCTCCGTGCCCACCTCTATTAAACCGTCTCCCTTCTCTTCCCACAGTTGCACAGCCGTATCGGTGGGGGCGTGCCGGAGTGGGTGGAGGGGGATCAGCTGTGGGTGATTCTCATCTCCTCCCCATCCCCCTCATCCCTTGCCTCCCCTCCCTCCCTTCCAACAGTTGCAGAGCCGGTTGGGGGAGGGCGTGCCGGAGTGGGTGGAGGGCGACCAGTTGCGGGTGAGGCAGATTCTGCTCAATCTGCTCTCCAACGCCATCAAGTTCACCGACCACGGCCAAGTCCTCCTCTCCATAGCCCTCTCCCCTAACCCCTTCGACCATGAAACTGCGGAACCCCTTGACTCGCCCCTTGGGCCTGAGAAGCAGCAGGGCGCCCCTTGTGCTGCGCTCTCTCCCAACCCCTTTGACCATGAAACCACAGACCCCCTCGACCCTGACACTGAAACCACGGACCCCCTCGACCGGCCCCTTGGGCCTGAGCAGCAGCAGGGTGGGGTTGTGACTGCAGGGAGGAAACGGCGGCACGGCGATGCTGAGAAGGGAGCGGAAGGTGCCTTTGTGTCTGCTGCGAAGAAGCAGCGGCATGGTGAGACAGCACAGGTAGAGGCTGGAGCGGCAGAGGCAAAGGCTGCAGCAGAAGCAGAGGCAGGGGTCGGAGCAGAAGCAGTGACAGAAGCAGATGCAACGGATTTGGCAGCAGAGGAACCAGTGGTTGGAACAGCAGCAGAGCCGGGGGCTGGTTACGATACTCACAGGGAGGAGATAATTCGGATTGGGAGAGCACCCAACGAGGGGAATAGCGGCAGTGAGCGTAGCGGGAGTGGTGAGCGTGGTGAGAGTGGTGAGAGTGGTGAGCGTGGTGAGAGTGGTGAGAGTGGTGAGAGTGGTGAGCGTGGTGAGAGTGGTGAGAGTGGTGAGAGTGGTGAGAGTGGTGAGAGTGGTGAGAGTGGTGAGAGTGGTGAGAGTGGTGAGCGTGGTGAGAGTGGTGAGAGTGGTGAGCGTGGTGAGAGTGGTGAGCGTGGTGAGAGTGGTGAGAGTGCGGATCCTGAGTTCATGGCTGTGGCTGCATCAGCGGCAGCAGATGCAGCAGCAGACGATGCAGTGTTCTCGATCACCTCCCTGCACCCACTCGCCCCTGCACGTTCTCTTCAGAGGGCAGTATCAGCATCAGCCCCAGCCGATGCTGCAGCCGATGCTGCAGCAGACGATGCTGTGTTCGCAATCACCTCTCTGCACCCACTCACTCATGTGGCGCCTCAAATGGCATTGTCAGCGTCAGCCCCTGCAGAGACTCCAGCAGATGCTTCAGCAGACGCTCCAGCTGATGCAGCAGAAGATGCTGCGCTCTTGACGGCTGCTCTGCACCCGGTCGTGACTGCTTTCCCACACTCCCTTTCTTTGGATGCGTGGAGGCAGGAAGGTGACGGAAACGAGGAGGTCCGAGAGGATGTGGTTAGAGGCGGGGAGGGCGAGTGTGGGGCGGGTCATGCCAGGGACGTGGTTGATGATGCAGGGGCAGAGGTGGGGGCAGGGGTAGGGGCAGCAATAGTGCAGGAGAGGTCAGATGCAAGGGGCAGTGGGCCTGGGAGGAGAGGGGGGAGAGGGCACGCTGAAAGGGATGCGCATGGGGCAGTGCATGCCCATGGGCAAGAGCATGGGGATGGGGATGATCATGGAGACGGCGATGGAGATGGGAATGAGGATGGGGATGGGGATGGGGAGGAGCGGAGGGCAGTGGTGTGGGTGCGGATAGACATAAAGGACACCGGAGAGGGTATTTCCACCGACGCCCTTACGAGGCTGTTCACGCCGTTCCGGCAGGTGGACGACTCGTCGTGCCGCAAGCACGGCGGCACGGGCCTGGGTCTCTCCATCTGTCGCTCGCTCGCGGCGCTCATGGGGGGCTGCATCTCCGTCGCCTCCTCCCCCCGCCACGGCTCCACCTTCTCCCTCCACCTGCCCTTCTCTCCTGCCTCCTGCCCAGACGAGAGCATTCATGGTGATGAGCGTATAATAAGCGGTGGTGGTGCCACTGCTTCTGCTGCTTCTGATGCTCCTGCTGCTACGGCTGCTCTTGCTGCTGCTTCCGCTGCTGCGGAGGTGACTAGTGCGGGGGCTGCTGGTAGGAGTGGTCAAGGGGAGGGGTCGCAGGAGCAGAAAGGCAGAGAGAGGCGCAGGGTTCACAAGAGGACCCGATCTTTTCTCCTGGAAAATATGGCTGACTGTGGGGTGTTTCCTGTGCTGCCAGCAGCGCCAGTGCCAGTGCTGCAGGGCTACGATGGGAACAAGCAGGAGCTGCAGCCCTACCATGCTGGTGAGCTGCCGCTGCTGCAGCAGCAGGAGCAGCAGCAGCATGGGTCAGAGGAAAAGGGAGGTGGTGTGAAGTTGGTTGGTGGAAGTATGAAGGGGAGACGGCGTGTGGAAGATGCGTCTGAGGCGCCTGAAGAGGTAGCAGCTGCATCTGAGTCAGGTCACGGCGGAGAGGTGTTTCAGACAGGCCAGGGTTGCAAGAGAGTGAGAATAGAGGGCGCTGTCGATTCAACAGAGGAAGGTCAGGCGGGGCAAGGTGGTGAGCAGATGCGGGAAAGCAGGATATGGAGGGAGAGACATGGAGACACAAGGATGCCTCTTGAAGAGGTTGTAGCAGGTGCAGATCTCAAGTCCCCATCGCGCTCTGATGGTGGCGCATTTTCCAAATCGCGCTCTAATGGTGGCACATTTTCCAAGCCCCCCTCTACGGGTGGCATATTTCCCAAATCCCCCTCTAATAATGGGAAATTCCCAAAGTCACCCTCTAGGGGTGGTGCATTTCCCAAGTCTCCATCTTGCGGCGGGGTGTTTGAGGGGCTGCGGTGCCTGGTGGTGGAGGACAACGCGGTGAATCGCATGGTGGTGGTGCAGCTGCTGAGGAACCTGCGAGTCTCGTGTGACGTGGCAGAGAACGGCCACAAGGCCGTGGAGGCCTGCCGCTCCACCAACTACCACGTCATCTTCATGGTCAGTCCACCAACTGCCACGTCATCTTCATGGTCAGTCCACCATCTGCCACGTCATCTTCATGGTCAGTGCGTGCTCTTATATGGTGCCTCTCTTTATCATTTATCCACCAAGTACCGCATCATCTTCATGGTATGTCCGTGCATGGTCTCTCTTTTGATTCCTGATTGATTTCCACCAACTACGGCGTCATCTTCATGGTATGTCCTTGTGCTGCTTGCTTGGCGCTTATCATGGTACGTCCATGCTCTCGTCCTTGATTTTGTATCCACCAGCTACCACATCATTTTCATTTGTCTTCACAATCGTTACCATGCGCTTGTATGAATTCCCCCAAAGACGAAGACGTTCACATTTTTTTCTCTCTTTCATTCTCCCAGGATTGTCACATGCCTGTCATGGATGGTTTTGAAGCCACCACTCGCATTCGGAAATTACAATCCAGCACCGGGACGGCAAAAATGAAGGATACAACCCCGCCAGACAGACAGTTGGCATCCGATGTTGCTCCGGCAGGAGAGGAAAGCCCACATGACAGGGTTGTTCAAAGGTCCGCCATCTATGCAGTTACAGCTAGTGTACTCAAGCATGAACGGGACAGATGTGCAAGTGTGGGGATGGATGGCTTCATTGCCAAACCAGTCAGGTTGAGGGACATACAATCAATATTGCTCCAGTTAGTGAACAATGTACAACAGGACCTTGGGTAACGAAAGTGTCAGAATAATTTGGTACTGTTTTCACTATGTGAAGGTGGCTGGACTTCGTGAAGATACTCTCAAGTCCATTACGGGAAGAGGCGCATCAAGCTGGCTCTTTATTGGGAGGTTGCCTAGGTTGGTTGAGTTGCAGACACCACTTCAAAATTAGGAAATGGACGAGCATCAGTGGCATGTACGCTTCGACCTGAAAGGCTGGCTGATCAGTCCAGTACGCCCGCGTTCCACGCGGGCGAATTGCATCTTCTGCGACCTCTGTCCAGTTCGCTAACCAACTGGGCTAAAAGGGCATGTTTCCTTGGTGGGTCAGCGCACCCATACCCCCCCAGGACAACACCTGTAGCCCTTGGGGAGACCACTTCGGGCCATTCCAGTGTCCACTTCCAACACTCCCCTCACTGGGAGGGCCCACCACTAGTGCACAGGAAGTCGCCAACAGCAGGAATCGAACCCCGGTCCTCCACGCTCAACGCACCATGTCCACGTCGACAGGTCGTGACGTCCTTCTAACGGCCTAGTGACAACGATCTTGTCTGGAGTGAATCTGAAGTAGCCATAGTTGGGGGCTATTCCCTCGTCCCTCGACATCGATCCAATCGGGGTAACGCCCGGCATAGCCTCACTATCGAACTCTTCCGCAATTCCTCCTCCAGCAACGCTCCGCCGTCCTACATTTGCATGCTCTCGTGACGCTGCTGCACGATGAACACGCTCCTGTACACCGCCAACGCTAGCCGTACTAAACCGAGTTGGTCCTCGCAGGACCCCACGCGACATCAACCCATCAAACTCCTCGTCATCGCTATTTCCGCCATCGACAGCCATATCCCACGCACTAGTACCTCCCGCAACTTGCTCAACATTCTCTACACGTGGCGAAGGGTGCTCACGACGCCGACGCGAGCGCAATCCCTCCAACATTAGCTCGTATTCGATATCACCAATCTCACCACGAGAATGACGAGCCACGAGATCCTCCTCTAGGGCGCGCAAATTACCGGCCTCCACGTTCGCCTCCTCTGTACTCATCCTCTACGACGTCTCTATAAGGTACCACAAATTAAAATAAAGTGCCCCTTCCTTAAATCCCTCGTCTCGGGGTCACCTCGCAAGGGTCCTCAGACGAGTGGTAATAAATTACCAAACGCCCTATCCTTGGGTCCGAGAACGTAACTGGAGGGAAATCAAGAGAGGTTCAACTTAGATTAATAAGCGCCCTTCACTAACGCCGCACGCCAAGGCGAGTATACGAACGCGAATATCAACGACGACGGAAATCTATGCGTGTTCGTTCCACGCTCACCGCACCATGTCCAGTTCGCTAACCAACTGGGCTAAAAGGGCATGTTTCCTTGGTGGGTCAGCGCACCCATACCCTCCCAGGACAACACCTGTAGCCCTTGGGGAGACCACTTCGGGCCATTCCAGTGTCCACTTCCACCATGTGCTGTGGCAGTCCGGGCCTCCATGTAGTTTAAAGTTAGAAAAGTCGGGTAGTTATGAAATAACCGCCCCCTTGGGCGTCCAGCTTCAAAATACCCTGATGCGATATGAGATGCACAATGATGCAGGCGATACGAGCAATCACCAAGGCTGTCCAGCGTGGGCAAGTAACCATGTCCATGGCAAGTGTGGCTGACGTGTCTCGATTCTGTCCTAGCCCGTGTGCGTGGACCAGCCATAAATGTACTGTACAGTACATGTGCGTGTACCCAACCTTCGGTTCGGGCGGCCGGGATTTCTGGTTTCTGGATGTTTCCAGAACAAACGATTTTATCCCTTGTACATTTCTCCTATCACGAGCCTCTTTGGAAACCATTTATGGGTTTCGGGTTGTATATAAAGATTCCGCCTGGAGCAAACTGGGGGCGAGTTTGTAATATTCAGAGAACGACCATACAAAATTAGAATGATTTGCATTTTAACTTCTGTACCGAAAGCTACAAATTCTGTACCAGCGCTAGACCAGTGAGCTCTGTTCCGCTCTGCTGCCAAAACCAATTTCAACTGGTGTGCCACGTGGTTGGAAAGAGAAATCCGATAGCCGCGGATCAGGGCACGGATTTTGGCGTGCTTTAAAGCGACGGTGCACATTTGCCACCCAAAACCCAGAACCCTGGCGAACTGTTACTGCGGATGGAAAGTGTCCGCACGAAATCCTGGTTTTCGCCAGCCAGCACTTTCGCGCTGGCAAGCCTGGTTAAAAAAAAAAACTTATGAACCCAACACTGCCAAAAGTTGCCCGTCGCTTTAATACGACAGAAGTCGAAGCAGGAAAATCCAGTTTCTTTCGTTTTTTGCCTAGATGCTTGTAACTGTAGCTTCCCTTCCAGCCATACACCACCAGGCCTGTCGATTGACGGGCATATGCCCTTAATGCCCTGAATTTCCGGGCTACGTTTGCTCCAGCTCGACTGCATAAAGTGTTAGGATCGCCCTGCACCCGTGACACTAAGTGCTTCGTTCGACCCTTCCCCGGATACGTTAAGTGCTCCAACCAGGCCTTCCCCACCCACAAAGTTTTGATTTCCGGTTCTAGGACCCCCCCCCCCCCAAGAAATTCTGCCTGACCCCCCACTCCCCCCCCTTTCTCCTTAGGTTCAACGAGAGCGCGCCAAGGGGATTTTTCCCTTAGCGTTTTCTAAACCAATCCCGTGTTCGTGATATCTCTAAGTCAGCTTTGGAGCAGCCGAACTTTCCCTTAGCTAAGATAGTGTAGGTGCAAGCCCGGATATCAAGTTTTCACTTTGGCCTGCGCCCGTGACCGTTAAGGGCGCCAAAACACTCAGCTACGGCCAAAACAGGGTCAGATAGGGAGGAGCTGGGGACTCCAAGTATGGGCCCCAGGAACTTCGACAGGCCTGGACACCACCACTGGGAGCAGCGCATCCACCAGTGGCCCCGTTACAGTATCGTCTGCAGCCAACCCTGCTGGATGCCATTTTCGCACAACCTTGTAACCAGCAGCATAGCAGCAGATTTCTCTCGCTCGAGGCTGCTGAAATCGCTGGTCAAACCCTTGCCAGACACTTCAAGTATCCCCCCAGGTGTGGTTCTAGGCTCAGCAAAGAATAGTCGAACCAGCGCATTTTCCCAAGCGCAGACCAGCAGCAGTCATTATTTTCACTTCGTAGGCTTCAAGCAGTCATTAGCTATTTTTTTGCTGACAGAGTATGTACACAGAACATGCGTCCTACTGATCGCAACACGTCCGATGCTAACACAGCTGTAAGCAGGACAGGTTATTACGAAATTAGGCAAAAACATACCCGCCATGGCTGAAAACGACTTGGACATTCTTAAGAGTTCGCTTCTCCAGGCCGTTCCCGCTGTGCTGGTGGTAGTGAGCGGCGGGGACGCGAGGGAACAGCGGTTAACGCAATGCAGGTAAAGCGGCGGCTGAAATTGCGTGATTTGCGGCGGGGAGCTCGCTTGGCAGCAGAAACTGAATCGCAACCTAAATAAACCTCTTTCCCAAAAATATTTGAGGCGTTTCCTGCGTCTGCGTGCCTCAGTCGAGGGCTGGATTGCGAATGATTGCAATAGCAACATGAATTACACCAATTAGGAGCCGGTACCCAACTTCCTTCATTGCGTCATTTTCGGTGCTGGATCAGCGGTTGAAATTGCGTGAACTGCGGCTCGCGCGTTCCTGTAGCCGCGGCGAAAACCTAGTAGAGCCGGCCAGGCACACAGCCTGAGAACATTATTATCTTTCTCCGGCCTATTGATCGTAATGCATGTTTCGACGATGAGAAACAACGGCTTAGTATCAACTCCAACGTTTCACCCTTTCCCGTTCTGCTTGTAACAGCGCTGCTCTAGCCGATCTGCTCGGACTGCCGCAATGCGACCTGGCGGAAAAGCGCGTGCAGTCGCTACTTCACCCCTCCGACAGAGCCGCCCTGGAGGTGAGAAGAGCAAGTAAAGCTGTAAGCCGAGACCGGAGGTTCTATGAGTAAAGCTGATGGTTCTGTCTGATGAATATATTGGGTTAAAGAAAATCAAACTATGGTCTGCCTCAGGTGCCAGAATAATATTAATGGATCTATTTGGCGTGAATTTCTCCTTGTCCCTCTTCTCCCATCAGCATCCTTCTTCTCCCATCACCATCCTTCTTCTCCCATCACCATCCTTCTCCCATCACCATCCTTCTCCCATCACCATCCTTTCCTCCCATCACCATCATTCTCGCATCACCCCTCTCACATTCCCGCTGATCCCTAGCCGGCTTGCCCCCTGGCTCGCCTCTCCCCTCCGTCCCTTGTCCCACTTGACCCCTGCCGCACCTACGTTGTCGCACCCTTCTCACGGATCCACAGGCCGCTGTGGGGGAGTGCGCAGCAGACACCAGCAGGCGGAAGCGGCAGGTGTGGGTGCGGCTATCAGTGCGAGCGCAGGGCGAGGAGGGGAAGGGTGGCGAGAGGGGCGAGGGGGAGACATTGGGAGAAGGTAAGAGTGGCGCAGAGCCGGGAGAGGAGAAGAGGGAGGGCGAGGGTGGGGGAAAAGGAGGGGAGGAGGCGAGTCGGAGGGGCAGCAGCAGCAGCAGCAGCAGCTGCAGCAACAGTAACGAGTGGCGGTGGTTTGAAGTGTCCGTGTCCCTGGCTTCGCGTGCTACAAATTTGACGAGAGCCAAGGATCACTCCTCCAAGGATCACAGGATGGTTCTCTGCACCTTCCTGGACGCCACGGAGCAGGGGCTGCGTCAGGTGAGCGGTTGCAGGAATGATAGCTGTGATATGGGGCTGCATTAGGAGTTCACTGCGTAGTCAGACTGTAAAATCGCCACGGAGCAGAGGTTGCGGCGCAGTCTCTCGCTCCCTCCCTTTATCCTTCCCTCCCTCCCTCAGTCCCTCCCCTTATCCCTCCGTTCCTCCCTCGCTCACTCCCTTTCTCCCTCCGTCCCTCCCTTGCTCCCTCCGTTCCTCCCTCGCTCACTCCCTTTCTCCCTCCGTCCCTCCCTTGCTCCCTCCCCTTTTCCCTCCCTCTCTCCCTCGCTCCCTTCCTCCCTTTATCCCTCCCTCCCTTCCTCGCTCCCTCCCTTTATCCCTCCCTCCCCCCCTCGCTCCCTCCCTTTATCCCTCCCTCCTTCCCTCGCTCCCTCCCTTTATCCCTCCCTCCCTCTCTCAATCCCTCCCCTTATCCCGCCCTCCCTCTCTCGCTCCCTCTCTTTCTCCCTCCCTCCATCCCTCCCCCCCTCCCCCGCCCCCTCCCTTTCTCCCCCCCTCCCTCCCTCCCTCCCTCCCTTTATCCCTCCCTCCCTTTATCGCTCCCTCTCTTCTTGGCTCCCTCCCTTTATCCCTCGCTCCCTTTCTACCTCCCTCCCTCCCTCCCTCCCTCCTCGGAACAAGTGCTGCAGCAGCTGAGGGAGTGTTCTAGTCGTCACCCTCTCCTCTCTGTCTTCCCTCTCTGCTCCCCTCTGTTCCCTGAGACCAGGTGTTGATGCTGCAGCAGCTGAGGGAGTGTGCGCAGCTCGCCACGCCATCGCACCCCACACCGCTTCAACCACCCCCCGGTATCCCTCAAACTGCTGTCCCCGATGCTGCTGCCACCGATACTGCTCCCACCGATGCTGCTGCCACTGATGCTGCTCCCACTGATGCTGCTGCCACCGGTGTTGCTTCCATTCATAATGCGGCCAAGCATTCTCATGGTTCTTCTGCTCATGCTGTTGCTGTGGCCAGTGGTGCTCCTGGTGATGGCGTTGGTGCTGGTGCTGGTGGTGCTGGTGCTGGTGGTGCTGATGGTGCTGGTGCTGCTGGTGGTGGTGCTGCTGGTGGTGGTGTTGAAAGTGGGGGGGAGGGGCGGGTGTGTATGTGGAAGGAGGCGGAGTGGCTCATAGAGCAAGTGAGGGAGGCGTTGCTGCTGGGCCACGAGAATGCCAAGTTCCGAGCCATCTTTGACCTGTCCATTGTGAGTCAAACAAACGGTTCATGCCCAGCTCTTCACCCCACCTGCTACTTTGCGTCAGCGCATCCTGCGCCTTGAACTGGACAGGCAAGGTGCGGGATGCGCCTGCGTGTTACCCACTTATCCCCTTCTAATCACTCTTCTCCTCCCCTCTCGCCGTTCCTTTCTCATCCCCGCTCCACAGGACCCCATCCAGGTTTTCACAATCCCTAACTTCACCCTCCGGGACTGCAACGACGCCACCGTGCAGATCATTGGTTACCCTCCCAAAGCGTCTGCACAAGTTATTGCCTCAGTCCCTTGTCCCTCCTTTTCCCAACCCGCCTTCCCCCCCTCTCCCGCCCCCCATACCCGCACAGGACCCCATCCAGGTGTTCACAATCCCGGACTTCACCCTCCGGGACTGCAACGACGCCACGGTTCAGATCATCGGCTACCCCTTCAAATCAATGGTCACACCTCCGCCTCTCGTCCTTTCCCTTCCCCACCCCCACCCGCACAGGACCCCATCCAGGTGTTCACAATCCCGGACTTCACCCTCCGGGACTGCAACGACGCCACCGTGCAAATCATCGGTTACCCCTCCAAAGCGGCCGCACTGGCCAACCTCAGCATCGTCAAGCAGTCCCCCGAGTTCCAGCCAAACGGGCGGCAAAGTTTGGAGTATTTCCTGGAGATTCTGGACGGGATTATGAGAGAGGGCGGCCTGCCGCCCTTTGAGTGGGACATGTTTTCGTTGGATGGCCGCCCATGCACGGTTCTTGTCAAGGGCAAGGTGAGAGGGGGTCCATGCTGGAATCCTGTGAATCTTTAAATCCACTTAAAGAATCGCTCTTTGAGTGGGACATGTTTCCGCTGGATGGCCGCGCGTGCACGGTTCTAGTCAAGGGCAAGGTGAGAGGAAGGCAAACACCTGAATGAGTTGCAGTTTTATGTTTTAAGCCAAGGGTTTCGGGTTCCGGACATAGTGTTTCTCACTTCCTCAATGTCACTCTCTTGCTATTTCGTACTGCTTGCTAATAATTCCCCCCCCCCCCTCTTTATCTTCCAGGTGGTGACGGTGAACGGAATCTCATACTACGTATCGGTGTGGCACGACATAACGGAGATGAAGCGCAAGGAGGAGGAGCTGAAGGCGGCCAAGGAGGCGGCGGAGGCGGGCAACGAGGCGAAGAACCGGTTCCTGGCGAACATGAGCCATGAGCTGCGCACCCCCATGAATGGCGTCATCGGTGTCGCCGAGCTGCTCCTCCGCACCCCCCTCACCCCGCAGCAGCGCTCCTACGTCGACGTCATCTCCTCCTCCGGGAACGCGCTCATCCATATCATCTCAGATGTGCTTGACATCTCGAGGATTGAGACGAAATCCTTGGTTCTGGATCACTCTCCGTTCAACCTGCACGACACTGTGAACGAGGCCGTGGAGGCCGTGAGGATCGCAGCCGAAAGCAAGAAACTTAAGGTGAGCAATGTGCTTCACAAGCAATTATGGTACATATGCAAATGTATGTATTTAACATGGATGTTCATATACACATAAGTTAATATATGTATATGAATACTTACGACACATTATGTACGTGTATGTATACATGCATGTTAAGGTTAATATATACTACATATGTACATTGTTGTATTAAAGCATGTTATTTTTTAAGCTTCATATTTTTTTTTGTTATGAAGAAGGCTTCATGCGTCCTTTCTATGTTACACTACATATGTTATTTGTATCGTTGATGCCAAATAATTCAATGTGATATGCATGGACATTTGTATGCAATCCTATGTTCGTTTCTTATCGCTTTTTTGCCATATGCTTCTTTCTAATTCCTTTCGTTGCTAACTACTTTCCGCAGTTGCAAAGCCGGGTGAGCGCGGCTGTGCCGGAGTGGGTGGAGGGGGATCAGCTGCGGGTCATTCTCATCTTCCCCCCATCCCCTTCATTCCTTGCCTCCCCTCCCTCCCTTCCCACAGTTGCAGAGCAGCATGGGCGGGGGTGTGCCGGAGTGGGTGGAGGGCGACCAGCTGCGGGTTCGGCAGATTCTGCTCAATCTGCTCTCCAACGCCATCAAGTTCACCGACCACGGCCGCGTCCTCCTCTCCGCCGCCCTCTCCCCCAACCCCTTTGAGTCTGACGCCGGTGGGGAAGTTCGTCACGTAGTGGCTTCGCCAGGTGCGGATGAGGAGATGGTGGCAGGAGAGGCATGGAGGCTTGCAGCCGGACAGGTGGAAGGGGGCATGGAGAGCGGATTGTGTGCTAGAGAGCAGGAGAGGGAGGAGGATCAGCCAAGGCAGGGAGGTACGCATAACATGGATGAAACATCAGCAGCAGCAGCAAGAGCAGGAGCAGGAGCAGGAGGAAGAGCGGGAGAAAGGGGCGGGGGAAGTTGGGGGGAAGGAGGAGGGGAGGAAGGCATGGATGAGGAGTTAGCAAAGCAGAAGTTGAGGGAGGATCTGGATCGAATAATGAACGAGCCGTGGATGCTCACTCCCGCCACTGCCTCTCTTGCTGCTGCTCGGGCCGGCCTCGCTGCTGCCTCTCTCTCCTGCCCCTCCAGAGCGTCGGACTCGCCAGCTGTAACGCCAGCTGTAGCTGCTGCAGGTGCTGGCACGGCTGCTTCAGAGCCGGCTGTAGCGGGAGCAGGGGACGCCATGGATGTAGCAGCTGCGCCAGCCGATGCGGTGACAGCAGGTCAGGCCATGGATGTAGCAGAGAGCCCAGGCTTGGCAGCAGCAGCAGCAGCAGCCGCAGCAGCAGCAGCCCCAACAGCACTGGAGCATCCCACGTCAGACGCTGCAGCAGCTGCAGCAGGCGAAGGGGGGGACAGTATGGTGCGTTCCGACGACGCAGCGATTGCTGTTGTTGCCAGCTGTGCTGCCTCTGATGCCGCAGCCGATGCTGCTGCTGTCTCCAACCCCTCCTTCCACTCCCATATCCCTACCCTAGCCAATCCGCCTTTCAAACCCGAAGGAACAACAGCAGAGCGGAAGGGGCGAGCGGCAGAAAGCAACAGGGAAGGGCGGAACAGCAGCGGCGAGAAAGGCAGTAGGAGAAACGGTAGAGGCGTGGAGGAGGAGGCGAAGAAGGGGCGGGTGCGGGTGTGGGTGAGAGTAGACGTGAAGGACACAGGCATGGGCCTATCAGCAGACGCCATGACGCGGCTCTTCTCCCCCTTCTGGCAGGTGGACGACTCGTCGTGCCGCAAGCACGGCGGCACGGGCCTGGGTCTCTCCATCTGTCGCTCGCTCGCCGCGCTCATGGGCGGCTGCATCTCCGTCGCCTCCTCCCCCCGCCACGGCTCCACCTTCTCCCTCTCCCTCCCCTTCTCTCCCTCCTCTGCTCCCCATCCTGCTCGGGATTTCCAGCAGCAGCGGGAGGAGGGTGTGCGGAGTGGTTTGGAGCGGTTGGGGATTTGCAACCAAGGCGTGGCGAGTAGTTTAGCGCGTGAGATGCACGGGGTAATGGGAGGAGGTGCTGAGAGGAGTGGAGTGCGAGGATTGGGTTTTGCGGTGGAAACGCGTGGAGAGGGAGTTGTGGGGACAAAGGAGAGATTAGCAGGGAGGGAAGGGACCAATCTGCAGGTGCAGCAGCATCCACAGCATCAGCAGGTTTTGCCACCGGGCACTGAGGCTGCAGGAGGGTTGGCAGATGAAGAGAGAGTAGAGCAGGATAGCTCGGAAGGGCTGAGGAAGCGAAAGCGAGGCTCTTGTGGAAACGAAGAAGAGAAGGAAGAGGAGGAGGCAGAGGAAGAGGAAGGCGAGGAGGAAGAGGAGAGAAGCATGGAGGAGTTAGGAGAGCGGGAGTTGGATGACAGTAAGAGAAAAGCGGAGCAGCAGCACAAGGAGGAGGAGGGGTTACACGCTGAAAAGAGGCCTTCTGCTGCTCCCAAACGAGCAGGCATGTCCCTGACCAGGCCGCTCTTTCCCAAATACAACAGCAGCACGACTGCTGGTAGTGACACCGGCGGCATCAGCGGCAGCAGGGGCGGCAGCAGGAGCGGCAGCAGCGGTGACGGGAGCGGCAGTGGGAGCAGGAGTGGTGCTGCTGGTGCTGATGGTGGTGCCACGGCTGCTGCTGCTGGCAGTGGCAGCAGGGAGGGAGGGCCATTCGCAGGGCTGCGGTGCCTGGTGGTGGAGGACAACGCGGTGAATCGCATGGTGGTGGTGCAGCTGCTGAGGAACCTGCGAGTCTCGTGTGACGTGGCAGAGAATGGGCACAAGGCCGTGGAGGCCTGCCGCTCCACCAACTACCACGTCATCTTCATGGTCAGTCCACCACCTGCCACGTCATCTTCATGGTCAGTCCACCAACTGCCACGTCATCTTCATGGTCAGTCCACCAACTGCCACGTCATCTTCATGGTCAGTCCACCACCTGCCACGTCATCTTCATGGTCAGTCCACCAACTGCCACGTCATCTTCATGGTGTGTCCACCAACTGCCATGTCATCTTCATGGTCAGTCCACCAACTACCACGTCATCTTCATGGTCAGTCCACCAACTGCCACGTCATCTTCATGGTCGATCCACCAACTGCCACGTCATCTTCATGGTCGATCCACCAACTGCCACGTCATCTTCATGGTCAGTCCCCACCATCATTTAATAATGTTCGCTATCGTTCATCCACCAACTAACACGTCATCTTCATGGTGAGTGCAAGCTCTCTCATCATTATCCATTCTGCATCTCTTATCCACCAACTGCCACGTCATCTTCATGGTCGATCCACCAACTGCCACGTCATCTTCATGGTCGATCCACCAACTGCCACGTCATCTTCATGGTCAGTCCACACCATCATTTAATAATGTTCTCTATCGTTCATCCACCAACTACCACGTCATCTTCATGGTGAGTGCAAGCTCTCTCATCATTATCCATTCTGCATCTCTTATCCACCAACTACCACGTCATCTTCCTGGTATGTCCTTTGCTTTCATGGTCGCTTAAACACCAACTGCCACGTCATCTTCCTGGTCAGACTGTGCTCTCACTTGCTTCTATCCTGGATATCTTATCCACCAACCACCTACCACGTCATCTTCATGGCATGTCCTTGTGCTTGCCCCTCTTTTTATTTCATTGCCTGATTCCTCGTCCAACACGCTTTCACACATTCCCACCGCATCCCATCCCACCCCATCCTTTCCCTTCCCATCTCTCTCTTCATTCATCCTCGATACAGGACTGTCACATTTCAGTAATGGACGGATTTGAAGCCACCATGCACATCTGTCGGGCTGTCTTACACTCCCATTCCATCCCAACCCACCCTGCCCCTCTCCATTCATCCCCGTTACAGGACTGCCACATGCCAGTCATGGACGGCTTTGAAGCCACCACGCGCATCCGCCAGCTTCAGTCCAGCGCCCACATCGCCCCTATGCCAGGCTCCAATGCAGCTCACAACTCTCGTAGTAGATTACACGCAGAGCAGGGAGAGGGGCAGCAGAAGGAGCAGCGAGAGGAGCAGCGAGAGGAGCAGCGAGAGGAGCAGCGAGAGGAGGATGAGAGGGCTGATCAGGGAAGGGTGGCTCAGCAGCGCACTAATGTCCCTCCCTTCCCAGAGGAGGAAGAGAGAAGGGCGGGGCACAACAGTGTGGTGCAGCGATCGACCATCTATGCTGTCACTGCGAGCACGATGAAGCACGAGAGGGACAAGTGTGCGCATGCAGGCATGGACGGGTTTCTGGCCAAGCCCATCCGCCTGAGGGATCTCGAGCAGGTGCTCTCCCAGATTGTTGCACGGGATCGGGTGTAGGCTGGCTTGAAACGGGCACCATTTGCCACAGGGACTGTGCAGGCACGGTGACGCTTGGGAGAGGGCATGACGCACGAGAGGGACAAGTGTGCGCATGCGAGCATGGATGGGTTCCTGGCCAAGCCCATCCGCCTGAGGGATCTTGAGCAGGTGCTCTCCGAGATCGTTGCACGGGATCGGGTGTAGTTTAGGATGGCCTGGAAGTCGGATCGAGCCCCACTTAGAGGCCATGGGTCGATACGTGGCAGCAATGTCTTGATTTGAGACACCTAGGTAGGTGTCTCTACGCAAACTCTATCGGGTGTAGTGTAGGATGGCCTGGAAGTCGGATCGGGCCCCACTTAGAGGCCATGGGTCAATACGTGGCAGCAATGTCTTGATTTGAGACACCTAGGTAGGTGTCTCTACGCAAACTCTATCGGGTGTAGTGTAGGATGGCCTGGAAGTCGGATCGGGCCCCACTTAGAGGCCATGGGTCAATACGTGGCAGCAATGTCTTGATTTGAGACACCTAGGTAGGTGTCTCTACGCAAACTCTATCGGGTGTAGTGCAGGATGGCCTGGAAGTCAGAACAGCATCATAGAAGGACATGAAGGAGAAAAACTTCTCCATCATGCTCTGGTCGAAGCCTGCAGGTTGATTCGCAGGAGTCTCGGTGGATGTTGTCCTGGGTCTTGTTGCCGTACCCTCCTCTGTCTGTAGGCCAGAGGCAGGAGGTGGAGTAGGAGTAGTGCCGGGAGAACCAATGGAGGAACTCCTTTCCTTCTGAGTAGCCATGTCTTCTGATGTTGTAGGCGTTTTGATAGTTGAATTCCCCCTGATAGCTCTCATACCATGTTGGGCTGAAAAAGTCTTTAGGATCTTTGCAGGGGTGAACTCTGGGTAGGACTAGTGTAATAGCGGAAGCGTCTTTGATAAAGAGTTGTGAACCACCTTGCGCTGGTATGTGAGGGCAAAGTAAGCTGATTAAAGCAAGGAGATACAGGATTATATATAAGAGTACAAGGAATACGAAGAGATACAGTTATAACTACTTTACTGTTGCTGTTGCGGTTCGATACAGTGACGACTCGGGCAACTGCTCAGTATCGAGTCAGTTGTGTGTCCTTGCTGTCGCGCTGTACTTGTCAGGTCAAAGGTCGCTGACCTTTGACTTTCGCGTAACCTCCAGCAGTTTGCTCAACCTCCGAGGGTTGACTCGCTGATGCTGCGATATGTTGTGCTTCGCTTGTGCCTTGGTGTTTCGACACGACAGAGGCGCTTAGAATTAGTTGTTTCCAACAGTCTCAAGAGATCTATTCTGTAGGCACAAGTCTCAAGAGATCTGTTCTGTAGGCACAAGTCTCAAGAGATCTGTTCTGTAGGCACAGGTCTCAAGAGATCTGTTCTGTAGGCACAAGTCTCAAGAGATCTGTTCTGTAGGCACAAGTTTCAAGAGATCTGTTCTGTAGGCACAAGTCTCAGGACATCTGTTCTTTCTCAAGTCGAACTAAAGAGATGAAGGCATGAATGGGATTGGTCCCTCTGGGTAATGCCCATATGGCTGAGCTGAGGGTCCTAGCAAGAGAAACAGTTTCTGCTCGGTGCGAGGCTAGTGTACTCATCAATAAAGTTGTGATGGATCAATGTATGTAATTGAACAATAACGTGCATATGCACAAGGAAAGGAGGTTCTACTGACTTGCATTGGAGGCATCTTAGTTGATAACAATGGTGGCTACATGTGCTGAATTCATGTCATGCGCTTGACATCACAAGATTTTTTTTTTGTCTAGAGCGGACGATGAGCATGTGAACCATG